GACTTAAAATAAATTAACCAAGAGTTCTCTCAACTAACTACATCACCATACTTTATTTTGACATTATAAGGCTCTATTTAAATTCTGTGTTCCCTACTTTTTCAGCCCTGCCATGAATGCATGGCCTCAGGTTACAAACTCTGTTACGAATGCCATGGAAGGGGAAGGGTGAGATAAAATTTTTTTTACATTATCTTTTCAATGATGTGTGATCTCAGGAATATTTGCCCCCCTCCCCCCTCAGGCAGTTTATTTTTGCTCTCAACATTTATTCAGGACTTTTAATTTCCAAACCTCCTTTCCCCTCCTCTTCCCCCCCCCCCAAAGAAGGGATCTCCTGTGACCCGTGGCGGGGTAGTTATAGAGCTGTTTTTAGTCTCAAATTGTGTAATGTTTCCTTAATATGTTTTTCACTGGATTTAATTTTTAAGGTCCACACCAAAGAAGCATGAACCTTTTCTCACTCGTGAGCGATAAAATTCGTATCCCCGCGCGGCCATGTAATGATCTGTTTATTTTATTTATACTGATGAAATTTCAAAGGAACTAGCCGCGCGCCTGAGCGGGAAGCTCTCTTGTAATTGGCTAATCATGTTAGTAACCATGGCGACACCAATATCCTCACACGTGAAAGATAACTATAGTATCTTCACTGCGCGCAATGAAGATATGATTTTTTAAGTGAAAGGAAAATTAGTATCTATATAATATAATACCTTGTACTGCATACAAACCATGGTTCAACGTGTGTAGCAGGAACAGAACTTCGGAAAATTGAACACGCCAAAAAATCCAACTTTTGCCGTAAAGAGGCATTTACTGAGGTGCAAACAAAGTATACCAGTGGCTGAGCTTTTGGTTTTTAGTAGAACGACTTAAAATAAAAACATTACCCATTTCTCAAACAGCCATACTGTATAAATGCTTTAGTTACCTTTGTTTTCTTGTCTACCTTTTCTGCGGCGGTCATTTTTGAATGATTTACGTTGGCGCCGTTGTTTTTTTGTGGAAACTGGGACCGAGAACTGGAATGTTACAGTCTCAACCAATCAGATGCGAAATAATCGCACGACGACTTCACTCGAATTTTCCCGTGCATTAGGTTGGTCACGTGTATGTACTATTTTCCTCATTGGCTACTTTTAATGTGGAACTTCGTTATGATTGGCTGATACGATTAATTTCGTTTTGATTTAACGACATTCAGTCGAGACGACCTTCAAGTAGTTTTTGGTAATTGAGTGGTGTGCTCGTATCAAAAATTATTGTCTTCCTTCTCTGTCAGGTTTGTTGTACATCGTGTAACGGTTCTGGTAACAGTACCGAATACCGTGATGGGCAATCACGTAGCGTAAGCTGCACGTGGTGTTGTGGAAGTGGAACGAGAACGTAAGTTCAGCGGAGTATAAATCATAATCACCAATCACAAAAAGAGAAAAAAAGGTACAAAAAGCCTCTGTGAACTCACATTAAACCTAAAACAACTAGCTGAAGCGCTGGAGAACCGCACGGACTCGGTCGTTCGTTAGTGCGTTCGGTCGTTCGTGCGCGCGTTCGTTTTTTTTTGCTCGCACGTTCGTTTTTGTTGTTCTCGCGTTCGCTCGTTTGTTATAATGAAATATTGGTGTTAGAAGAGAAAACTGCTGATCATATCTTGACATTTTAAGGATTAACTGTAAGATGCCTTAGTGAGATGTTAATTATTTCAGATGTGACACGTGTCATGGCCATGGACATGTGATATGCTGGATATGTCTGGGGCAGACGCAACTTAAGTGGTTCATTCAGCTTACGATCACGTGGTGAGAAACTGAATTCTATATTCTTATTAACTGAATATGAAACGTTACTATACCCGCTCTGTGTC